TATGACAAACACAGTTTAAGTGAACAAAACTTGTTTATATAATAAGCATGCTGGGACTTCCGTGGTGGCACAGTGGTTAAGAATCCACCTGCCAATTCAGGGGACACAGGTTCGAGCCCTGGTCCGGAAAGATCCTGCATGCCATGGAGCAACTAAGCCCATGTGCCACAACTACTGAGCCTGTGCTCTACAGCCCATGAGCCACAACTACTGAGCCCACGTGCCACAACTACTGAAGCCTGCATGCCTAGAGCCCATGCTCTGCAACAAGCAGCCACCACAATGAGAAGCCTGCGCACTGCAACAAAGAGTAGCCCTTGCTCACCACAGCTAGAGAAAGCCTGTGCGCAGCAACAAAGGCACAGTGCAGCCAAAAATAAATAAATAATTAATTAATTTAATTTAATTAAATAAGCATGCTAACATTATGTCATGAAAAAGTATTGTCTTAAAATTTCCACAAGATTGTTCGACACTGTTTATATTGACTTTCTATTGCTGCTTAACAAATCACCACACATTCATCAGCTTAAAATAAAACCCATTTGTTAGCACATGGTTCTGCAGATCAGAAGTTTGGGCATGGCATGGCTGAGCTCTCAGCTCTGTTTCTCACAAGACTTAAATCATTGTGTTGGATGGGCTTGCATTCATACCTGGAACTCAGGATACTCTTTCAAGCTTATGTGGTTGTGGTAGGATTCAGTTCCTTGTGGTTGTAGGACTGAGTTGCCCATCTCCTTGCTAGCTATCAGCCAGGTGCCTCTCTCAGCTCCTAGAGGCCATTCTCATTTCTTGCCACATGCCCCTCACCATTTTTCACAAGGGAGACTCTCCCTTGTGTCCCTCTGCTCTTTTGAATCTCTCTTGCCAGGAAAAGCCCAGTCCTTTTTAGGGACTTATCTGCAGTGGAAGACAATATCTCTTTTTTAAAAGCAAATGTGCCTTATAATAGAACTTAATCATGGGAGTGAATATGCCATAATATTCACAGATCCTGGAGATTGTACAAGACAAGGACAGTAGGGCATGAGGATCTTAGAGGACTTCTTAGAAGTCTGACACTATTAAAAAAAATCAATATCATGTATCGCCCTTTTAAGCAAACATAGAAAGATACTTAACTCCATGATTACAAGATAGAACCTAGATATATTTTTAGTTTAAACCTTATGTTAAGTGATGACTAACTGGTATCTAAATACTTGTAGCTATCTGAACTATCAAATCCAGCGTTCTGCATTATCATAAACATTTATTTCTTCTTAAAGTTTCTACTATTATAGGCTGTGGGCTTTGTTTGCAACTCAATTTTTTTTGTTTGTTTTTTGGGGTTTTTTTTTGTTTTTCTTTGTGGTATGCGGGCCTCTCACTGTTGTGGCCTCTCCCGCTGCAGAGCACAGGCTCTGGACACGCAGGCTCAACAGCCATGGCTCACGGGCCCAGCCGCTCCGCTGCATGTGGGATCTTCCCAGACCGGGGCACAAACCTGTGTCCCCTGCATTGGCAGGCGGACTCCCAACCACTGCGCCACCAGGGAAGCCCACAACTTAAGTTTAATAACTATTAAATTGAAAATATTTAGGGCTTGTGGCAGGGGGAAAGGGAAAATGAAATTGTGAAAATGTCAGCACATATTGGATTTGTTAGCTGAAAAATGGGAGTATTCCCTAGGGAACAAGTTCCCATTTTTAAAATTTGTATTCCCCAGAGTTAAGCACTGAGCCTGACACAGAGTGCATCTCAAATCTTCATTAAATTGTATGTTGATGTGGACAGTTTCTAAATAATCACATCATCAGCAGATAATGATCCATATTTGAAGACTGTATAAATGAATAGGTAGATGATCTGTAACTGTCAGGATAGGTGCTTTGTTATCCAAGTGTATTTCCAGATTATGTCAGCATTTTGTCTTTATCTTAGACTTAATACCGTGAGCTACCATTTTCTTTTTTTTCTTTTTTCAGCTCTCTGCCACCAACTTGTAGAGCAACTGTGTAAAAACACATTTTAAAATTTCCTTTTCTCTCAAGAATGAATCTTCTACCTCTTGGGAATTTTGGATGGAATAATTAAATAATAATGTGAACTGTGAAGGCGGTGGATGCTTTGTTCCCTTGGAAAAGCCTGCCTGCATCAGAGCTAAACAGAATTGTGCCAGATTGGGAGCTTCTGATTCCAAGGGAGAAAGTAATTTTTCTCCCTGCCAACACCAGCCCTTCTCCAACCTCCTGCTCAGTAGCTGCAAGAAAATAAAACTACTTTTGTTTTTTGTTTTTTTGGTTTTTAAGTAGAGGTACAACAAAAGAGAAATTAAGTTGAGGAAATTATAAGAGAAGACAATTTATGTTGCTTGGAAAAGATATATATATATTTTTAAAGTTAAGACATACAAAATTAGAAATGTTCTAGCTGTATGTGCACTCAGCTTGACGTTTCATTCATCAGTGGTAGAATTAATGAAGTAACATCCTTCTAAAGTATCTCCTTTATTTGAGTGTAATAGATTTTTTCACATCTTAAGGGTTGACAGGAATGAATTAATAATCAGTGATAAGCCAGCTATTCATGATGCTAATTTGAATCCTGACATAGGACCTCTTCCAGACTAATTCTGGTTTATTTGCTTTCTTGTCTTCGCCATCTCTTGCTTAGGTACACGTTACATAGAATGTGTACTCAAAGTAAGTTAACTCATTCATTCATTCATCCACTCAACAAATGCTTGGTGACTACTATGTGCCTGGCATAGGTGCTCAGTAGACATAAATGAACAAAGTGAAAATCCCTTCTCTCATGGCATTTACATAAATAGACTCATTCATTAGAAGATAATAAGTACTATAGGAAAAAATAGAGCAAGGTTAAGAATGATGGGGTGAGGGCAGGAAAGTCATAGTAAGTGACCAAATGATGGAAGTAGAGTGAATGAGAGGGAGATTAGTAGGAGAGTGGGTTCACAAGATATTGAAGGTGAAATTATAAAAGGCTGTGTAGGTCATTGGAAAAACTTTGGTTTTCACTCTGATTGAAATGGGGTTCTGAGAAGTTATATGATTTGAGTCACGTTATAAAGAATAACTCTGGCCATTGTGCTACACATAGACTACTGGGGGCAAGAATGTGAGCAAAAGTTATATACAGTATTTCCTCAAGCATAGCTAAAGTGTGCAAACTTAGTCTGAATTCAAAGGCCTTTAGATATTTAACACCTAATAAGACTTCTGTCATTGTTAATTTTTTTTATCATTCTTTATCTTTAATTTAAAACAAACATATTTGAAGTAGGAAAGTCCTTTGGAAATTGCACAGGAAGCACCTTTTGCTGTTTTCCCCTGGTGATTTGAAAAATACCTAGTACCTCAATAAACTATAAAGAAAAAGTAACACATTGTCTAAAATTTTGGAAATTCTGTTTACTTTATTTACCTTCTCGGATATTTTAGCAAGTACGTGAATATTAAAATGTCTCACAGGTCCTCTAGTGAGAAACCCTTAAATGGTCTTGACCTTGGAATGATCCCCCCTTTTTTCATAATACCTCAGGGAACAAACACTTCCAAATGCTAGTCTGTGAAAGTGCCTGTCCAGTGTCAATGGTGATCAGCCTGCTGTCTACAGCTGAGTATTAATCCAATGATTGTCCCGTGGCTCTCTAATAATACTGTTTTAAAATGTAGGTACTACAGATTTGAAATATGTTCTGGCAAATTCATGAAATTAGCCATATCTAAAACATAGCTTTTTGAATATATGAATATAAAATTGTACAGTTTAATTTTTAAATATATAATTTTAAATGAGACTGAAAAATTTCTTCTTCAAAATTACTTTTGAGCTTTTAAGATTGTTATGTTTCTTGAGATGTTCCGTCTAGTTGAAATTTAAAGGAAAAATGTTAACCAAGTGGAGTCCAGCTGTAACCTGACGTGTTGTGCCTAAATGGAAGCAAAGAGCAGTTCTTCCTTGACGTAATTCAGCTTCTCTAATCATTTGAGGAATAAGCTCTGTGGAATTCAGTGCTACAGTGGCCACAAACTTCTTTCCTGTTCTGTGGGCCTCAGATATTGTAGGAATTTCAGAAAATAACTGTCTAGGCTTTTTTTTTTAAAGTATAATATGAACATTAATGATATATAATGACAAAATGGTCAATTATTTAGTTACTTATTTTAGACTACTGGACTAAATCTAGGAATCTTGATGATTATCTGGTTCAGAAAGGCATCTGATTCTCTGTTAGTGGTATGAGAAAAATATTCAGAAGGATGGAATCCAATTCTGGGAATTCTTAAGAATTAGACCAGAGTACTCAATTTTGTTAAAAGCTCCTTAGATAATTCTGATGCACACTTGATTTTGCTTAAAAACCTCTTGTGTAGATCGAAGACACAAAGTCTTATGATCTCTTGCAGGAAACAGTATACTAACCTGTGAAGGTTCGAGTAAGTGTGCAAATTTGACAGCTCTGTAAGGCTATGGACTTGTAGGATTTATACTCGGTTTATCCCCAGGATTTTCACAGGACCTCGCTTTAACTACAGGAGTAATTACTCAATAAAATGTGCTAGAAGAATAAGTGAATGAATAACTGGTAGCAACTGTCAGTGTTGTTTTTACCACTACCACCACTTCCACCCACCCCGCCACCCCAGAGCAGAAATGAGAGGATCATGAGAAGGTGTCAAACAAGAATAACTTCATATTCCTAATTGGCTCGTGATTGTTCTGATTAGGGATTCTGGATCTTGATAATGATCAAAGGAAGAAAATGCACTAACTCACATGGATGATTATTTCTTGCATTCAATGGCATTATTACATTTTGATTAAGGTATTTCTGTATTAAGAAACTTTATTTGTATAAATTCCTTTTAAATGGGTGATAATGATTCATGTGTAGACAAGGGGAAAATGTCCTTCCCTCTCAGATCAAATTGTGGCATGATATTATCAGTTCTGATTCTAAGCGGTGTCTGTTCTGCTGTCCTTTGCAGCCAGCTGTTGCAAACCCTGATATCATGTTTATTAAAATTCATATTCCATGGGACACGCTGTGCAAGTATGCAGAGAGGCTGAATATCAGGATGCCCTTCAGGTACTTTCAAATTTTATTTCATTCCATCTCAATGTATATTAAGATGAGCCTGTTTTTTGCAAAACTTGAGAACAATAAATGTAATTCTTTCTACAGAAGAAATGCTTTTTCTTCCAAAGTTTAGCTTATCTTGGACATTTATCTTTCCTTCTAATTTGCTTGCTTAATGTCGTAAGTGTTCTGGTTCCCAGCTATATCATTTCTAGCTGGACTTGACTAGACGGGAGTGGGGGTGGGGAGAGTGGGGATGGAGGGAGAGTGCTACTATAGTTGCTTTTGGAGGGTGGGGGGGTGGGGAATAGTTGTTTTCAAATTTTAACTTATAATTCCCAAGATCAATTTCACTTCTTATTTAATATAGGTAGATGGAACTCTTATTTTTGTGCAAGTCAGGAAATGTAAGTGTGTAGCATCCTTATGTATACAAATACAGTGTTCTTTCTCTGTATAGCAGTTAGCAAGAATCATTCCTCAGGTGGAATTCAACCAGATGGTTTCTTAGCTCTGTCCTCAATGCCAAAGGATAAATGGTAATAAAAGTCCTTCTCAGTTAAAAGATTTTTCAGTCCTTCCTATAGGCAAGCAAAAATTGAATAGATGTGTTTCTCCATATTGTGTGTTTTGTGTTATATGCAGAATCTATCACTTTCCTTCGTGATCTCTCACAATAAAATTCAAGTGTTTCTACTATGTGCAAAGTTTTAACTCACATTGAAGATATGAACATTTACACTTTTTTGGAGCTCAGTATGCTTTATCAACTGCTAAGAAGGCTTAAAAAGGTTTAGCGTAACAAGATACCAAGTAAAAGGACCTCTAGATAATGAATATGAATGAACAGTAAGAGTGCAATTCAAAACTATGGAGAAATTTCTCAGACCTGGTGGCATGGAAGAGGCCAACTCTGTAAGAGTGCTGACAGCCTCAGGTCTCATGACAAGCCTCTACAGTATTCAAGATGAAATATGGGATGTTGATCACTGTCTTTTTAATCATCTGAAACACCTCAGGCTTTGGAAGATGCAACCACAGTCATTGCCCACAAAACAGAAATTGATTAAGTGTTGGCAACTACAGAGGAATCTTACTGTGACAATATTAGAATTAGATACCTAAATTGACTCCCATTCCTG